TTATAGTGTACTATGTTGTTTCTCCTCCAGGGAGGTATATAGACGTAGACATTTCATCTTTATCTTGAGGCCTGGCTCTCACCAGATGCACTTCCAGCCACAGTTATAATATGTTTTTTTTTTGTTGTTGTTCTGCATTGACTCCTTTGAGGGCCTGTCCCCATCTGACTGCATATAATATTTCTGCTTAACTTAGCTATCAATGATAATTTTGCCAAAGAGGAAACAGCTGTATGAGTTGCAAGTGATACAAAAAGATTTAGCCAGTAAAGAAGAAAGGAGTGTGGCCTAAGGAGAAGGAACAGCCTGTGCAAAGGAACGGAGGGAGCACATGCTAAATTCACTGGGTGGATTTGGTACCCTGTGTTCTGATGGAATCTTTCAAGTGAATCAAACAGCTTAAGCCACAAGGCAAAGATATTCATTGGTCTTTGCTTCCTCCATAAAATGACCTTTTGGATTTGGCCTTTGTATGGCAGCAGAGATAGGGCTGTGGCTTTGGGGTGACTGTTACCCACCAGTGAGATGCTGAGCCCTGTGTGTGCAAAGTTGCTTTAGACTCAGCTGGGCCCAGGCCCTGCGGGTTCTGAAGGACATCTCCATGCAAGCCTGGCCTGAGATTGTACTCTGGGCCCACTGACCCCAGTGGTGAAACACTTGCTCATGTGGTGGGAAGGACCTGGCTCCTCTGATAACATGGTTGGCTTGGCTTCTCTCTTCCTGGAGGAGAGCTGTCAGAGATGGAGTGGGTTTTACATGTGGATCACATTGGGCCAGCTGCAGTGCAGCTTAGAGCAGGCAGAGGGAGGGAGAGCTAGTGTTTCTGACAGTTGGTGGAGCAGGCTGCATGCAGCCTCCAGATCTTGTCCAAGGCCTGGCAGAAGAGTAACTTGTTTTCAGTGGAAGAGAAAACTGGAGTGGAAACATTGTATTATTTTCCAAACTGCTGCTTTGTGGGCTCCTAAGGGATTTGTAGAAGACTTGGCCAGAGAAGACTCCCCACCCCCACCCCACCCGCAGCTGTCCTGTGTCTCTTCTTCTTGATTTGACTGTGGTCTTTGCTGTGCTTCTCATCCTGATCCCTCTCCTGGACCTTGTTCCTCTTAGTTCCTGCTACCCTCCTGTCTCCCCATCTCACTCGGGGTGCTTGTCCCATCCTCCCTTAAGAGTCAAGTGTGGGAGGGCATCCTGTACTCTTCCTCTTTCTGCACATTCACTCAATTGCCAGGTCTTGTTGCTTTTACCTTGTTTCATTTAGAACACTGCAGCTGTTGGTCTTCCTTCAGTTAGGCCTTTCCTCCCCTCCTTTCCTGCATACTGGATGGGCGTTCTGAAAGGCAGGCCTGGTCCTGCATTCCCCCACTGACAACTCTCTGTGGCTGCTCATGTAAGTCCAGACTCCTCAGCAGGCCCTGGACCAACTACTTCGCCAAGCTGGGACTTGTACTCCTAGCTCTAGTCCCCTTTATAGTGGTACTTTCCCAGTCTATTTCTCTCCTCTGCCTGGAAAGCCCTTATTCACACTCCCCCAGCCCTCTGCTGACTCCTGTTGCTGTCCTCTAGAACACACTCTTCTGCTTGTTAGTGCTCCCTGGGGACACTGTGTCTTCATCCCTCTTGTGTTCAGCACATGTTCATGCATGGTACTGGGACCACTGTGATGGTGAGGCTGCTCCCAGTGAGAGACACAAAATGTGCCTCTTGAACTGTGGTGGTTTTGCTGGAGAGAAATTCCAGTGACAGTACTTAGAATTGATGTAAAGATGATATAGCTTCAGCTCCGAATGATCAAATTTGTGTTCAAAGGACCAGGCAGTGGACTGAAGGGCAGGACGACACTGAACTCTACCCTGGGTTTTCCCTTCATGGATTCCCATCCCCTTTGGACTGTGAGTCCTTTCCCTTGAGCAGGGATGTGTACACAATGTTTTTTATATAATTTCAGGTGGTTTGCAGATGCTTTGGAGTGTGGAGTTCCTAGCTCAGACTTCTGGTGTATGGATTAGCTTCATTCCTTGGGGCTCTTTTCCACCCTTGCCTTGAAAGGGAAAAAAGAGGAATGGGAAATCCTGTTGCCCCGGGATAAGAAGTTGAACTGAGTGGGTAGACACTTGTCATACTTGACACTCAGGGTGTGAGTCCCTAGTGGGCTGGTGTGTCACTTTCCAGAAACCTCTACTCCCTCCTCAGTGCATTGTTGGGTGTGCTATGGGGCTGGAAGGTTGGCTCCTGGACCAGACTCACAGGAAGCCCAGCAGTACCCTTCTTCCCTTTAACTTTGTGCACTGAGCTATCTACACCCCAAGTCCTGGGGCCTCTGGATGCTCCCATTTGATTTTTTGAATTTGGGGATGGCTTTGAAACCAGGGAAAGATCAGAGTTTTGTTTGGGTCCTGTAAGGCATCTACTTTTTAGCCAAGATTCTGTTGTCAGAGACCGGTGGTCTAGTTGTGATGTCCCAACAAATGGAGTTGGGGTGGTGTGGGAGAACCAGTGGCCCAGTTGACACTTTTCACACCACCTCGGTAGTTGCTCATGGCTCTCAATACTGAGCACTCTTGTATGTATCTGCTCATGTGGGGTACTCAGGGATGTCAACTTTGTGGGTGTGACGGCTACACAGCCTCCATCTGTCACCTGGTATCACCTGATGTCGTATGGTGAACTAATCACTAATGTTATAGATGGACAGTTGATTGTGGTTTTGATATGTCAGGCCTGCCTTATGTTTATTATTTTCTCCAATGGCTTGAATCCCACAGTTTCCATATAAAAGGGGCTATTAGTATATCTATTCTACAGATGGGGAAATTGAGCTCAGAGAGGTGCCCTGTTAGCAGCTGGGAGAGCTGGGACTTGAATCCAAGTTATACAAAACCCATGCCTCATTTTGTTGAAAACTTGTGTACTTCTTGAGGTCAGGAAAGTTACGTGAGTAGGGGAAGTGGGCAAAGAAGGCAGCTATTATTATTGCCTAAGGAAAGAAGGCTGGTGTACATGTTCTTGACTTAACGATTGGGTTACATCCCAATAAACTCATTGTAAGGACTCAATAATATCTCCAGTTAGGGCTGGTGAGATGGCTCAGTGGTCTAAAGCACCTACTTAGAACAAGCTTAGCAAAGCACTGGGACGCGGTTCAATCCCCCAGCACCACATGCCAGCCAGCCCCGCCCCCTGGTGGGCTGAGCTGCCCCCCACACACAAATAAATAAAATTTAAAAATAAATAAATAAAATTATTATTATTAATTTTATTTATTTATTTATGTGTGTGTGTGTGTGTGTGTGTGTGGCCAGCTCAGCCCACCAGGGGGCGGGGCTGGCTGGCATGTGGTGCTGGGGGATTTTAAATTTATTTATTTATTGTGTGTGTGTGTGTGTGTGTGTGTGTGTGTGGCCAGCTCAGCCCACCAGGGGGCGGGGCTGGCTGGCATGTAGTGCTGGGGATTGAACTGCTGTCCCTGTGCTTTGCTTAGCTTGTTCTAAGTACGTGCTTTAGACCACTGAGCCATCTCACCAGCCCAAATAAAATTATTATTAAAAAAAATCTCCAGTTAAAAATGCCTTTAATGTGCTTAGCCTACTGACCGTCATAGCTTAACAATTCAGTAGTTAGGGTGTCACTTGTTTGCCCTCATGGGTTTGTGGCTCACTGCTACTGGCCACTTGCCTCGAGAGTGTTGTATTAAATATTACCAGCCTAGAAAATTATCAAAATTCAAAATTTGAAATATATTTATGTTGAATTCACCATAGTATCATTGAAAATGTAAATGAAACCATCATATATTAGAGACTGTATTGTTAGCTCTTTTGACTGCTTCTAGAAAACTAGAAATCTTGGTTTTCATGTGAAATCTCTGTTTCTTCAGATTAAGTTAGGTTTCTTTCTTTTTTTTTTCTGCAGAACCGGGGATGGAACTCAGGCCCTTGCGCTTGCCAGGCAAGCGCTTATTCTACTGAGCTATCTCCCCGGCTCCCTAAGTTAGGTTTCTTAAAAAGCACAAATACACCCATGAGTGGATTCAACTCTGGACCTGAGAATGAGATGCTGCCTCTGCTTGCTCCCTTTCCCTGGCTCTGCTGCCTTTAGAATCCCCTCTAGAAGAAGAATCAGACCAAAAAAAAAACCCAAAAAACAAAATTATAAAAAAGGGGCCAGGGAGATGGCTCACTAGAATAAGCACTTCCTGGCAAGTGCAAGGGCTTGAGTTCAGTCCCCAGTTCCACCAAAAAGACAAAACAAAACAAAAAATCAAAGAAGAGGAATCAGAGTTTATTGCTGAAAAAAGTCTCAGAAGACTTAGCTGACCCAGCCCTTAGCCATTTATGATTCCTATTTCACCAAAAGCGTAGGTAGGCCTAGACAGGTAAGGAACTGTAATGTCGGCTGCCAGCAGGGAAAGCAGGTCTGCACTGCAGGGTCTGTGATTGTGAGGTAGAGCAGTCTGGGTTCAGACACTGGTTCTGCCCAGCCTGCTCCAGGTTCCTATTTATCCTGCTCCAGAGACCTTAGGGACAGCCTCCTTTTTTTTTTTTTTTTTTCTTTTTGTGGAATAGGGGATTGAATTCAGGCCCTTGCGCTTGCCAGGGAAGTACTTATTTCACTGAGCCATCTCCCCGGCCCCTCAGGGACAGCCTGCTGTCTGTCACTACACACTGAGCTGTCTTGGGTTTTAGAGTTACATAGTCCCTGGGATCTTTCCTTAGGTGACCCGGACACTGGGAGACTGTTGGGGCTGCTCTCTGTGTCTGGGTTTGAAATTTGTTGCTCTCATGTGGAAATAGGAGTCCTTGCTCATGGTCAGGAAGATTTGACCATACCCATCTGGGTATGGGGTAAGAAAAGGAGTAGGGGGCATCATCCCAAATGATGATGTCCATAGAGGTACATCACAATTTGGGGCACAACAGGGAGGGCTGGGAGAGGACAGACACTTCCATGTTTATAAAACCCTTTTGCTCTTTACAAAGAAGGAACAAGTTACATCAGAAAGGCTGCTCGCTTCAGCAGCATATATACTAAAATTGGAACGATACAGAGAAGATTAGCATGGCTCCAATACAAGGATGACATGCAAATTTGTGAAATATTCCTTATTTTGAGGGCGGGCCAGATAGCTCAGTGGATTAAAGTGCCTGCTTAGGTAGACACAGGGACTGGGGTTCGATCCCCGGCACCACAAGCCATGCCAGCTCTGCCCCCAGGGCGGACCGAGACAGTGATGGAGACTGGGCATGGTTGCATGCACCTGTAATCCCAGTGCTTGGGAGGCTGAAAACAGGAGGATCACTATAAGTCCGATCTGTGTAGTGAGACACTTAGACCCTGTACTAAATACATTTAAAAAACAAAAAAGGAAAGGGCAATATTGGGCTGGGGATACAGCTCAATGGCTTAAGTGCCTGCCTGGCAAGTACAAGGTTCCCAGTTCGATCCCTAGTACTTAAAAAAAACCAAAAAACCAAAAAACAAAAAACGGGGGTGTGGTGGTGCGGGTAGTAATGGGACAGGCACTTATTTAGCTCGCTGACTTCTGTGGTGACTATTTCCTGCCTGGACATGAAGCTAGGCAGAAGAAGCAGCAGCCCCATCTGACAGTTTCATTCCAGTACAAGCGGTCTAGTTAACCATGAGGTGTTCTGCTCTGCACACAGCTGTGCGAGTGCACGAGCACAGGATTTCTTCTTCTGTTGGTTCTTAGAAAACTTAGCTCAGCACTGTCAAAGACAGCTGTGCACCCCCTGCAGGACTGGTGGATTTAAGTGCTCTGGACTTATGCTCTCCTATCTCTTCTCAGCACCTCAGCATGAGACTGCAGTCCCTGCAAACAGTGCAGAAGCTAGCACCTGGTAGACTAGTGATCCCAATGATCTACCTGAACAGTTGCCCAAATCTCCCCCCAGAGTATCATTTCTGTTAAAAGACATTCTGCACAGAGTGAGTTCCAACTTCCAAACAAACTTTTGGAATGCTTCGTTTGTGTACACTGGAGACTTCCTGTGTGATATTTCTGGGCATTACAGCCAGCCCCTGTTGTTGCCATCTGTCCTGCCTCTGCTGTGTTGGATTCCCAGAGTCTTGTCTCCTGCAAATAAAATCCAAATCAAGGATGAGGTAGATGCCACCCCAGCCCCCATCTTTCTCCTGGTGGAGCCAACTGGGAAACCAACACAGCCAAATCAGGCCAGGCAGATGCCCTAGAACCTTCTCTGTTATGTGAGTCTTGGGGCACAGACTTCTTACTTGGTTTATGCATGAGGTTTATGCATGTATGCCTTGAGGCCTGCGTTCTGGGGTTGGTAGGCTTTTTTCAGGCTGATGATAGGGTGTTATTTCGCTTGAGCCCTACTCCATCCTCTCCTATACCTTAATGTCACTATGTGTGAGTCCTCTCAGCCAGACTGAGCCAGGATACATTTTGTTTCAGCAAAGTCGATTTTTTTCCCTTCTATTGTGGTTTATCAGCAAGATTCTGCAGCTTCGCTTTGCTTATTCCCTGTTCAGGAAGAGGCAGATTTCCCAATGTGGAAAGTAGGCAAGGATCTGGTTTCCTGTGAAATGGATCTCGCCCTCTTCAGGACAGTGGCTGGAGGCATCCCTTCTTTATAGATCAGCAACATCATCCCACCAAGATGTTGGGTCAGGGCCACTCCCCATGAACAGGTGTGGGAGTTTGAGGGTAGGGGAACTGGGGTGAGACTTGGAGCTTCTGTGTGTAGGATGGGACCTTATTCAGGAGCTGCCAACTATCTGTGGTGACAGCAGCTGTCAAGGGGCCCCAGCATTTCCTGGAGCCTTGAACTGAGCAGATGGCTGCCAAATCTTGTGAGACTGAGAAACCTAGGGGTGGGTGGTGGCAGCGCTTCTAGGGAAGTGAAACTGTCGTTGAGGGTCAACTGGGGAGGTACTCTAGATGCAGCTGGCTGTTCTCCTCTCTTTTTTCCTTATTCTCAGAAGTCCTGGCTATCTGAGATAGCAGTTTCAAATCCCTCCACAAACCCGAAGGTGTGTCTGGCATTCTATGTGCTTTAGCTTTCTCTCAGGAAAACTCATTGGGACACAGATAGGTAGGGTGATGGTCAGAGTCATTTGAACTCACTGCAGCTGATTTTCTAAAAAGTAAAAGCAAATCAGTCGTACAATTCTATACTTGATAATTGTTAGTCAAAGATGGTTGGTGGTACATCTCATGGCTGATTGCATATCAGGGTTGAGAACCAGGGGCTGAGGACAGCTTGAGGGTCAGGCCTACATTTCTCTAGTATGCTTGCATTCTCTGACAGCTTCTTGTCCCCAAATATGGGGCAGCATTTAGAAGTCCTTAACCTTTTGGTTAGTAGAGCTAGAGCTTGGATGAGGCATGTGTCTGTCTGCTGGAGGAATGTCTAGGTTGACTGTATGTCTGGGGAGTGTGCACTGGGGAGTCCAGGCCAACTGTCTGTCTCTGCCTGTCCCTAAAGGCTGGCTTTGTGTGTACATTGGCATTCTGCCTGCCCACCAGTCTCCTGATGATTCTCATGCCACTTTTTGAGGTCACAGATTGGCATCTGGGGCAGGGCAGCCTTTTTCCCTGCCCCATAGCTCTGTGCTCAGGTGAGAGCAGAAGCAGTATGAGTAGAACACAAGAGGAAAGCACTCCTGGCAAGCCTACCTGGTACAGCTGGAACCTGGAGTCTCCTGGCCTTCTCTGAATTCTTTAGTTCCACATGCTTCCATGAGGAGCCCATCTAGGGCCCAGGATCCCTCCTGAGGCAGAGGGTGAGGAAAAGGAGGAAAGAACATGTGCCAGAGTTGACAGTGCAGCCACATCCTGGTGGACTGGCTTCTTGGATTTCTCCAGGGAACTTGGTTCAGTGCTGTGGAAATAGAGAGTGGTGATAGCAGGGGTGAGGGATGACTGCTGAATGGTCCTCCCCCCCACCCCGGGTGTCCTGGGATGAGCTGTGCAGGCAAGCAGAGCTGTCCTCATGGAGAACTCCTCCTGCCTGCACAGTGCTCTCATTGGGCAGCTCTGGGCCTCTGTGTCCCGGTCTGTGAAGCGAGATTATGAGGCCAGACTCCTAGTAGATGTTCGGGAAGAGTCATTTACCCGTCCTCTGCACCGCTTCCTGAGCTTCTTGCAGCCATGCTGGTCTGCTTTGGCCCCTCTAAGAGGTTGTTCTCTCCATGACTCAGACCTGTCTGGGGGCTTCTATGGATCTTGGCTGGCTCTTTCTATTGTCACAGTTCTGGGTTTGGGTTTGAGGGCATAGGGCTCTCGCAACTGTGACTTCCTAGCAGGTGGTAGAAATGAGGAGAGCCTGAGGCCCTGCAGCTTCTTTGTCTTTTTTTCTGCTCTTGCAAGGCAGTGAGTTTAGGCTTCTAGACTTGGAATGAACCCCAGGCATAGAAGGGTGAGGTCAGTGGCTTGCTCAGCAAGAAGGCCCAAGTTAGTGATGACCTGTCACAGCTCCCAGGATCCCTGGCTGCAGTCCCTGGCTCCAGCTCCTCCCCGTCTCCTCCCCAGGGAGATGAAAATCAGTGATGCAGGTTTATTTACTAACTGTCTCCTCTATGTCAGAGTAGGAGGCACACATTTATTTTATCCCCAGGCACCATGATGGATTTTGCACATTTTTTCACTATTACTCACCATATACTACTCTATGAGATGTTTGAATAAATTAAAGCACAGAGTGATATTGATATAATACATTGTCAATGGGCTAGTGGATGGTAGGTTTTCTTTTTTTTTTTTTTTTTATGTATTTGGTACAAGGTCTCAATACGCAGCTCAGACTCATAGTAATTTTCCTGTCTTCAGCCTCCCCAGTACTGGGATTACAGGCATGCACCGCCACACCCAGTCTCATTGGCCGGCTCAGCACGGAAGGGGGGCGGGATAGCAAGGCCCGTGGTGCCAGGATGGAGTGAGTGGTAGATTTGAAGCTATGCTGTCTTGTTTGATAGACATGTTCTTTTCACTGTACCACACTAACAGGCTAATGGGATAACTAGAAAGGTGTACAAAGAGCTGTATGACTGTCTCAGCTCCCAGTGATAGCATGGCAGCCAAATCTGTGGTCTGGACAGGGGTGGCTTTATGTGTGGACAGTGGGGGCTTTGTGATACTATGTAAAACCATCTACCAACTCGCTAAGTGCAAGCTCAAGAGTTCTTTTCGAAGCTTGTCTCTTACAGTCGTACTTGCATTTTGTATTTGGCTCTAGAATTTAGCCTTGCTTAAGACGAGTTAAATTTCTTGTGCCTATGTAAATTTGACCTTGAGAAGGTGTGGCAGTTAGGGTAGAATGTCAGTTTGATGGGCTTTGGGATCCACCTGGGGATTGGTAAAACCCACTTTGGGTGTGTGGCACCTTTCCTCTCTGGTATGGTTCTCCTGCTTTGCTCCTGGCCATTAAGAACTAAAGTCCTTTGCTCTTCCATGGTGTTGCTGCTGTAGAGTGTACCGACCAGGCACTGGAACTGAGCTAAGTTAACCATCTTGGCTGTCCTGAGTGGCTTTCCATACCCCTGGCCTTCTCTGTGTCCTGGAGTTACAGGCATCCCAGGTAAGAGATGGTGGTGCCAATGTTGAAGATGGAAGCACACAGCTGGAAAAAGGGAAAGGAGGCTAGAGAGGCAGGCTCCTGTGAGGGGCCTGGTCAGGGAGTGAGGGCCAGTTCAGGGGAGTGTTATGAGAGGCTCAAGACCAGATTGTCAACCCCCAGGGATTCTGCCTGCATCCTGTAGCAGAGAGGGCTAATGGGTAAGAGTAGCTGGCTTACTATATCTATGGATTTCACACCCGCAGATTTAACCAGCTGTAGATTAAAAATTATTTTAAAATGGGGTGAGGGTAATCGCAACATTCCAGAGGCTGAGGTGAGAGAGTCACCATCAGTTTGAGTAAGACTAGGCTGCATAGTTCACGGCCATCCCAGAGTACATAGCAAGACTTTTATTTTACCTGAGGTGGTGTTACACACCTGTATTCCCAGCACTTTGGAGGCTGAGGCAGGAGTATTGCCACAAGTTTGAGGCCAGCCTGGGCTACGTAAGTGACTTCAAGGGCCAAAGCAGTCTGTACTATATAGCAAGACCCTGCCCGCCCCCACTGCC